CGTCGTAGTAGCCGTAGTAGTAGTCGTCGTATTAGCAATAGTCGTAATAGTAGTAAGAGTGGTAGTAGTAACAGTGGTAGTAGTAGTAGTAGTAGCAGTTAGTATTAGTAGTAGTAGTAGTAGTCGTAGTAGTAGTCGTAGTAGTAGTTGTAGTAATAGTAGTAGTAGTAGTAGTAGAAGTAGTAGTAGTAGTAGTAGTAGTAGTAGTAGTAGTTGTAGTAGTAGTTAGTAGTAGTCGTAGTCGTAGTCGTAGTCGTAGTCGTAGCCATCGTAGTAGCAGTAGTAGCTGTAGTAGCAGTAGTCGTAGTAGTAGTCGTAGGCCTCCGAAGGCTTCCGAGGGCCATCCGACGGCCCTCCGCAGGCCCTCCGACGGCCTCCGCAGGCCCTCCGACGGCCCGGTGCGGCGGCCTCCGTCGCCGCCGCCGTGCCCGCGGGAGCCAAAAGCTGGCCGGCTACGGGCGCGCAGGGGGGGCCCCAGGCGGAGGCCCTGCGCGGGGCGGGCGATGGCGGGGCCGCTGCTAGGCGTGGCGGCGCACGCGGCGGTGGCGCCGCCCAAGGCCGAGCTGCACTGCCCTGCCTGCGGTCCTCTGCCCTCCCCGATCGATCCTCGTTCCACCCCGTCCTCCCTCCCGCCCTCCCTCCCCTCTCCTCCCTCCCTCCTTTCCTCCTCCCCGCCATCCCCCTGACACCTCCCTGCTGTTCCTCCCTCCGTCCTCCCGTCCCTCTCCTCTCTGCTCCCTTCCTCCCCCCAGTTTCCCCCCCTCCCTCCTCCTGTCCTCCCTCCTGCCGCCCTCCCTCCTTCCTCCCTTCTCCTCCTTTCCTCCCTCCCTCCCTCCTTCAACCCTTCTCCTCTTCCCCATCCTCCTTCCCTACCTCCCGTCCCGAGCATGTATCGCCCTCTCCGCGTATTGCTTTCAACACAGGATTGAACAGATGTTGTATCTTCCATGGCGTTTTAGGATCCGGTGTTTCTGGTGTTTCGAAATGATTTTCCTGCTGCAGCGTAGGGCTGATTTTCGGATCACAGCTGTGCTCCCGTCGTTTAGAACGAAGCTCTCGCCCAAGCGCGGGACACATTTCTGGATCAGGGTCCTTCCTCATCGTTGTCGTTCCCATCCTTTCCCCTCCTCCGCCTCCCCTGGTAATCCTGCTCCCCCCGTTCCTTCCACTCCAGTCCCCGCTGCTGCTGTTCGTCCTCGTTTTCCTCCTGTTCCTCCTCCTCCTCCGTAGCCACTTCGACTCAAGATGTCAATGTTGGCGGGCACAGCACCCGCAGGCGAGCATGGTAGACTCTTGGTCCACGGCTCGCTTGAGATTTATGTTCTCCTCTTCATATCACTCCACGCGGGATTGGATCGGGGTGCCGCTGCCCCTTCTCGTGCTGTGCTCCCCGTGCTGGCGTCCAGATCGGCAACACTTTCAGCATGCCCGACTCGATTCAGCTCTCCCCTCGGCAGCAAGACCGTGGATCGCGAGCACTTCGGGCTGGCACACCACCAGACGTTCCAGCGAAGACTGCTGACCCATGGGCTGAATCTGCGGCCACCAATAGCAAAGCCAAGATGGACTCGTTCAAAAAGGAAGTGGAACAACTTCTCGCTCAGCAGGTTGCCGACGCATGCGCCCGGTTCAATGCTACCGCCGCGAAGGTCACCGCCGAATCCAGGACCAATTTCCTCGAGCATGTGGTCGCAGTTACTTCCCGCTTCACCGAGCGCCAGGAGGCCACTGAGAACGACCGCGCCGCTATCAAACGCCGCACGGTCGCCTCCGAAGCCAGCAACCTGACCCTTCACAAGTCAGTGGACGAACTCAGGGCCGCCATTGCTTTGGCAGGTCGCAGGTCCCCGCGGCGCCGCTAACATGGGCGACTGGAATCGACCTGGCCAAGCTGGCACGTTCTGGTGTGGATCGCCCGCAAACATATCCAAGGAGGAGCTCATCAGAGCATGCACGGACTAGTTCACGGCGACGTGCGAGGACATCCTTTCAATACGATTGAACAAAAACGCGCCGAGCAAGATAGTCTCTTTCACGTTGCTGGGAGGGGATGCGGTCGCTGTCCCTCGCGCTCCAGCTTTTCATCATCACCTACGTGTCGGCCGCGATTGACGCACATGCACGGTCAAGAATGGCGGCCAGCACTACCCATTGCACGTCGGTGCGGACAGGGCCCTTGCCTGGTGCGGCAAGAGATGCCGCTCAAGAAGCTGGCCAAACTCGTCACCTCCGCCGTCCCGTTGCTCCAGCCGCGGTTCCATCGATCAGAAGGTTACTTGTCAGTGGATGGCGACGCAATCGTGCGGATCATCGTCGGCAACACTCAGCAAGAGGAGACGAAGGTGCAGTGGTCGGACCCAGCTAGCCGTCGCGTTGTGCTTCCTGATGTTCAGAATTGTATATCCTCGACATTGGTTACTGCCCTCGCAGACCCACTTACATCTGTGCATCTGCTTTAGCACGAAGTGGGCCCCGTGGATGCCTACGTCAAGCAGCAGCAGTTTCGTGGAACGCTCAAGCTCTACTACATTCTCACGCTCCCAAACGCGACATCAAGAGGTCCATCCTGGCCCCATACCTCAGGCAGCACGCATGGATTGCCCTTCAAGAAGCACGTGGCACGTACCAGAAGCTCTTCCTGCTCGTGAGCTCCTACTCGGCCGCCCAGTACGACATCTACCCCAGCGGCATTCCAGGGAACTCCTCTGCCGGTGGTGCGGCTTTCTTGGTTCCTCGGTTTCCTTGCAAGGGCGGCGACATCAACGTGCCCAAGCATGAGATCATATTCGCGCCCGTTGTACCTGGACGTACTGCTGAGCTTCGAATTCGCGACCCGCAGCGCCGACACACGCACATCTACCACAACGCCCACAACCATAACCTGGCCCAGAACGAGCGTTCACGCTTCGAGGCGGCGTGGCAGACCGCAATAGCTGAAGCACGGGCCAACCCTGACAACGCGATGACCTCCGCGCACGGCGACTCCAATGTCTCGGCAGCCGCAGCACGCAGTCTCACCCGGCCGGTTGACTCGAGCACGGCTGAGCGACACCAGTACCCGTCTACGTTCTGGAAGCAGGAGACGATCATGACCACCGATGACCTACGCGCGGAGCGAGCAGGCGAACTAGCCGCCGACCACAAGCCACTACTGATTCGTTCTCGACCACGCGGACAGCGGCTTCGCAAAGAACGGGGCATTCCTGCGTACGCGTTCAAGTCCAAGTTTTACAAGGCCACCGTTGACGAGCTCAACAAACCCCGCGTCCTTCGATGACCTCTCTGCCATAGGCAGATGAGGGCCCTGACAGAGAATTTGACGAACGCAGCTGCGCAGGCCCGCGACACGCGCGCTCGTCTCCACCCTAGCGTCCTCAAGCGAAAGCGCGGTCAGATCGCGAAGGAGTTCACATCGAGGACGATGAGGGCAGTTGCGCGTGCAGTATGGTACCGGGACGACAAGCTAGCGCAGCTGCCTATACGTCATATTCATCATGGCGCACAACAGCTCCAATTTCGGCATGGTGCGGAACCGCCAGGGCGCGGATACCAAGCGCGTCATTCCTACGATTTCGCTGCTGAAGCTACACCTGCCTACGCTGCCGCCACTGACGAGCGTCTCGCTCCCGCCGCATCTCGGGCTCGCCAAGCGCATCGCGCCCAGCGCCGCCCGACTAGAGACAAGCGTTGGAGACGTGCGAATAACGAACGACGACGACGAGCGCACTGGAACCCGATGGGCACGCACAGCGCAACGCAGACTCGCCGGTCGCCGGCTTTCGCAGACAAGCCTGTGGATACCGAAGCCACGAACAAATGTCTCGACCCAGTTCCCCCCGCACGCCCCGCACTCAACATCGACGCCCCGACGGAGGAGGAGTTGCAGGGGGCTGCCGCTGACTCTGCCCCTGGCCACGATGGACTTCCGCGCGCGGCCCGGCCGCAGGCGCCCGACAGGTTCGCCGTCTTTGCCGAGCTAGCGGCTCACATCAGTCGCGGAAGTCGCGCTCCACGCGATCTCAACCACGCTCTGCTGGCCACGCCCCCCAAGGGAGAAGAGGCATCTGACCAGGCGCCCTGCTCGAGAGCGCCTGACCAGCCTTTGCCTGCTCGCAATGGAGAAGTCAGACATCGAGATCGCCGCCTCCGCCCCGCGCCACAAGCTACGTTTCTTGGTTGAGCAGGTCTCCGGCGCCCAACGCGGCGTTGCCCCAGGACGGCCGCTTCCCAACAACATCGCGGCCGCCGACGCGCGCGGCCGACTTGGCAGCATCGACCCCGAGGCGCCCATCTTCCAGCCGTGCTTCCTCGGCATGGGCATCGCCGCCGCGCCCCCGAGTCTCCTTCGCGCGCGGGGGGCGAGTGGCTGGTTCGACCACTTGCCGCGGGCATTCTACTCTGAGCCGATCGCGCTCCTGGAGCTTGAATGGCAACGGTGGCCGCTCTTTTCGGCTGCCAGCGGCGTCGCACAGGGCTGTCCTCTCGGCGGTGCGATATGGACCCTCGCATCCGACCCCGTGCTACGATGGATCCTTCAACACTTAAATGGGATGATATGATCCGTGGCGTGGCCAGCGCGCGGGCAAATAACATTGGATGCGTGCTAGCGCGACTACATGATATTGTTGGCTTACTCTCTCGCATTCGCGCCATCGCCACATGCGTTGGTTTTCACTCTCAACTACGCAAGTGTGTTCTGGTGCCCGTCTGGACGGAATTGGACGACGAGCTGATGGCGTCCATCCAGCACCCCCTCAGTCCCACGCAGATCGACTGGGCCCTCTCCGAGATTGACGGCAAAGCAAAGTAAGGACACTAGAGAAAAATCCAATCAAAATCTGTTTCCGGTTATAGGGCTTCGGGGCGATAAGGCTATAGGGCTAAGCGGCTATAGGGATATAGTGCTATTGGGGTATAGGGTTATTAGGCCATCAAGCTATTGGATGATTGGGATATTGGGGGCTATCGGGCTATAGGGCCATCGGGCTCTGGGGCCATAGGGCTATAGGCCTACCGGGCACCCGGGCACCTGGGCACCTGGGCACCCGGGCACCCGGGCGCGCTGTCGAAATCGGAACCGCACGTCACCGAACCATACGAATTTGCTAGGACCCCATCCACAGGCAAGCTCTGATTGGGGAATTGGGGGTCTACATTGGACCAGCAGCTTATGATCGCACCCAGTGGACAGCTCCAGCGACCAAATGGACCAGCCGCACCATGCTTCTTGGAGTTCCACATGCTCGCATGTAGCAAAACATCCAACTCGACAGCACTGCAGCGATTTCATTGTCATAGCATGTGGGCCACGATTCTTCCGCACCAGAGATGATCCTGAGCAAGGGGATTTCATTCCTACACGTAATGATCCGATCGGCCCCATCGGCCTTCACCAAGATGGACATCCTGAGCATGCGCACGCGCACGAAGGTGGAGACCCCCATGGGAGCCGAAGCTCTGCTTATTGCTACACTTTGGCGAGCCGCCCCCATCACGATCGAGATCTGGCCACGGACGCACGCCATGCTGACGCAGGCAGGCGGTTGATCTTCACTTC